AAATTATGAAATGATGAAACATATTTATAATTTTCCAGTCCACAATTGTTTATTTCTTAGGTTTTACTAGGAATTAAGAATTCTAAGGGTTAAAAATTCTAATTAGTATTTGTGAAAATAAAACTACTAAAATTCAACGAGGAAGAAAAAGACTGTATATGAAAAGCAGGCAAGGAAAGTAGGGCGTGTGTTTTTGGTAAAAGAAGGTATGGGAAATGGAAATGCATTTTGTTGAGGGTAATGAAAGTGATTTTGTCCTAAAGCTGGTTATTTCAGAAAGAGAAAGAATAACAAGACAAACTAAAATAGACACAGAGGTTTATAGGAAAGGTTTATAGGAAAGAAATCTTGGAAAAGGAATTTTATGTGTAATCAAGCTGGCCAAGATTAAAATGAATTTATTTAAAGTTCTGTTTCAATATCAAAAGTACACTAGTTCAAAATTTTGGTTTTCTCTGTTAAAAGGACAAAATTTTCTCAAATTGTTGGCCTTTTCTTCATAACAGATTGTACACAAAGTTTCTTTACTTCTAATGTAATCTGCTTAGGAAACAGATTCTGTTTTGTCTTTATCACATCTTTGATTACTTGGGAAAGTTGAATCTTCTCTAAGAAGAACAGCTAAGGCTTTTGTAGCTATGTGTAATCTTCTGTATTTGTCCCTGAAGATTCTTTTGGTTAAATGGATAACTAAGTATTGTTTTATAATTTTCTGTGATCCTATTGGGTTAAGTGTCCAAACCTTTTGGTATTTTTTACAAATTCCCCACAATCAACTTCTAAATGAGGTCTTTTTGATCTGGAAATACCATAGGACCTATTAGGCTTATTTGATATGTTAAATCACATGGGAAGCATTGTCAAATAATAAATAATACTATACTTTCTTCCTATAACATCTGTATAGGTATACATTGTTCCAAATATTGTGTGAAATCCCTAGAAATCTGGGTATTTCCTGATACAATGTTATCAGTCACCATTTTAAAACGTATGTCACAAAAATAAGCAACTCCCATTGCAAACTCCACTACCATACTCATCACACTCAGCATCTGTCTTCCAGTATATTAACCTTTTATGAAACCCTCTTGCTGTCTCCCCCAAATGTGATTATTGCATACTATCATTCTCTAAGCCCTGCTACTCTGTTACCCTTACCTTCTGATGACAGGGACATCTTCCCTTACCCTCTGGGTCCTTTGAAATATGGCAGTTGGATTTTGTCCAGCTGCCACTATCTCAAGAATGCAACTATGCTTTGTAATGGTTTGTATGTTTTCTCACTGTGTAGAAGCCTTTCCTAGTCATAGCGCTATGGCCTCAGCTCTATGGTAAATATCACTGGAGAAAATAACTCCAAATTGGGGAATTACCTCAGAACTTCACAATGACTGAGGGAGCCATTTCACAGGACAAATATTACAGGCCATTTGCCACATCTGCCCAATATTACAACATTTCAATACTCTGGCACTGTAGGACAAACACAAATGGAATAAAGACCCAACTGACAAAACTTATTGAATCTTTCAGTCTGCTTTGGTCTAAAGCCCTCCCCTTGGTATTATTTAACCTAAGATCCACTCCATATGGTAAACACTAATTGTCTCCCTTTGAAATCATTACCAGAACACCTATGAGGATGGACCAAGGGATGTATGAGCCTACCCTACTGAAAGGAAATTTCCTAATCTATTGCAAAGATCTTATCAAGGTCCTTGGAAATAATACCAGCCTCATAGAGCAATCTTTCCCCAACACACTCATAGGAGACAAAGATCTTCAACATCATAATCTCCCACCTGGAGATTTGTTTACTGGAAATGTCACCTTCACAAGGATGCCCTCCAACCTCACTGGAAAGGACCATCTCAGGTATTGTTAACTAACCCCTGTGCTGCTAAATTTAAAGGCATTGACCCGTAGATTAACATTTCTCATTTAAAAAAAAAAAAGGTATCTTCACCTGATGGACATCCCCACTGAAGATCTCAAACTAAAAATATCCAGACCCACTCAAAATCAACAATCTGGACAAGAAGCACAGGGTACCTGAAGTAGACAGACAGCTTTCCTGAGTCATGACCAAGCTTGTATAACCTCACAAAAGACTCCTACTAATGCTTAATGTTCATGAAATATTTGGAATAATTCTTCTTGTAGTAGGCATTTTAGCACTCTTGTTATTCTTACTTGTAGGATTTTGAATACTTGAATTTGATTGTTTTTAAAACATTAAATACCTTCTGATCCTGCTTATTACTACCCAAATTAGAGGAACTAAGTGGTAGACAAGTGCCATAATTCAAATAACCCAAGCCATAGCAAGTTCTATCTGGTAATCTTTCTGGCTGTTGAGTATGTCTTTCTCAGCCCACTATGGACGATCAGGAGACTCTTGGTCATCTCATTTATAATTTCACCCTTCTCCCTAATTTCACTATAAACCAGACTGCCCCCTCTGATCTCACCTATCAAGTTAAAATAGTTTTGCCTCCCAGAAAAGGAAATCCCCTTTGCTTCACACTTCAACCACCCAAAATGCTAGGGAAAAATATTTCTAATGGTCCAACAATTTATCAAGAGCTATATTCCTCCTATATTTGGCTCTTGCAGAAATGCCAAGGCACAAATAACAAATGTTCTCCAATAGGCACTTGTAGCTGCAGGACCACCCTTGCAAAAGATTCTTTCAGCTACCATCAAAATACACAGCCACCCTCTTTCTGTCTGCTCAAATAAAACAGATCCCTGGTTTTCTCCTACATACCCTCTATACTAAAAAATTAGTCCATAAATAAACAGATCTAAGCAGAGACACTTTGCACTCCTACAAGATATATTTTTGCCTGCATTTACAGGGAAGAATCTTGGGCATTTGACTACCTAGACAGCTGGAGAATGGCAGGACAGTGCCTCCTTGGATGTCTAACTTCCCCTTTTTCTGTCCTTAAATTGATTACTAAAGGAGACCATATAGGAACTAAGCATAGAACTAAAAGAAGTCTCTCCACGAAAAGAACTGAAAGATGATGATCATCCAGACCCATCCAGACCCCTCTGAATATAAAGATAATAGTTGTGGGCATTCTCAAGGCTGTGGTCTCCCAAGAGAGATAAACCTTAGGGAAGGGGCCCAATTTGGGAGGATCTTCAGTTGCTGGTTTGGAATAGGTACTGCTTAGAATGAGTACATGATCAGAAATCTTTCTTGGACCATCAGCAGAATTGCCAGGTCCACTCCCTAGCCATTAGAGCCAGGGGAAGTCTTTGGATACCTTATCTCATGTTGTCCTCCATAATAGCATAGCATTAGGTTATTTACCTGTGACCCTAGGTGGATTCTGTGCCATCACTAATACTTCTTGCTGTACATGGATAAGTACTTCCCATCAGGTAGAACTGGAAACTGCTAAGATTTTCAAGCTTGCTAAATCTCTAATCCCATCCTCTAAAACCTTTGGTGAGATTTCAGATTCTCAGATATTTTTAGCTGGCTCCTGACCAGAATTGGGACCATTTTAAGATCTGGGCTACAAATTATCTTACTTATCGTTGTTTTAATTTCTTCTATATTCATTATTATCACACTGTTAATGCTTTTCATGGCCAATGTTTCAAATCCTGTCAGAACTCAGATAATGTTTGTTCAAAGACTCAAAGCCATTCATCAGGTCTACCCTTTGAATGAAAAGAGAACCTAATTGAATTCTAAATCTTATTTCCTCAAACCTCCATGTTACTCAAATGTAGTTGTAAGACCTTCATCTAGCATGCTTATTGAACATATCAAGTATCAACCACTATGAGACTCCGCCCTCTGGGAGACATGATGGGGCCTGAGCAAGTTGCAAGTTGCCAGTGCCAACCACTCTGACAATGAAATGAGATTGCATGATCATAAAAATTTGTCATTGGTGCTTTCTTACTAGAAAGATCTTGATGAGGAGGGGGAAATTTGAAAGAAGATTCAAAATGAAGTAAGCATTGCTAAGAGAGCCACTCAAAACAGAGTTGAAAGAACATTGAGGAAGTAGGGCCTATGCATGTCTATTTCAAGTCTCCTGGTTTCAATTCTCAGCCTACCATAAACTGTTGACTTTTATCAGCTGCAGCTTGTCATTTGCAACCCCCCCCCACCACCACCTGGTACTTTGGACTGAAATAATGTAACACCTGTTAGCTACATAGCCAATGTGTATTAGACAGTTTAAACTCTGCCATCACCAATCATAATTCTTTCAAAACAAGTTGTGTAACCTTGTGGGTTTTGCCTTTATAGGCCTGCACTCCCTGCTCACTATTCAGAGTACACTTTTGATTGAGGTTGACACTGTGTCTCCTGGATTGCAATCTTACCTAAAAGCTCAAATAAAAATGCTTTGGTTACTTCACAGCCTCTTCTTGATCAACAGAACAAAACCTTCATCATCATCATCATCATCTGGGATTCCATATGGCACTTTGGAAATACTTCGTTAAGGTTATTAGGCTCTATTCTTAATCTAAAACTAAAATCCCTGAAATCAAGGAATTGTAGGTATGGAAGATACGTGAAAACACACACACACGTAAATCAAAGAATTATAATTCAAATCTACCTGTTGCCTCCCAAATCCGACCAAATTTCTGCCTTCATTTTTCCACCTGACATCTGATTTTCACCTTATCACACCAAGGCTACTTTCAGCAGTCACTTCTCTGAGCCTCATCTTTAAAATGAAAGGACCAGATGATGTCCTCACTGAGATCTCTACCTCTAACACAAGTCATTCATTACGATGTTTTGTGAACCTTACAAGACAGGACCAAGATAATCATGGTGTTTATCCCATAAATATGCATTCTTAATATTTAACCACTTGATCTAACAATAGAAAAACAAAACAAGCAAACAAATATATCCAATAGTTTGAGGAACCATTCTAATTCCTACTGCATTTCTAAAACATGAAAATATATTCTGCTTTTAATATGATGCACCCTTAGGTTCTCACCTCTCTCTTTAGCTTTTCTCTCTTTTGTTCTAGCCGTTTTTGCAGTTCTTTCTGTCGAGGGGAAAGACTATATGTTGAGGTCACTGCAGATATATTTGCAGACTGTGTCCTGTGATTAGCTTTTCTATTCCCCTTACTTCGATCTGAGTTGACAGCAGAGCTTGGACGAGTCTTGGGGTTGGGTGGCGGCTGAGGGATATAAGCCAGTGGCTCTTCTGTTGATGAGTAAGCAATAGCATGAATCTTTCCTATAGGCTCTTCTTTCTTAGCCCCATTGACATTTGAGTTGGAAGATCTGGGTGACAACTGGTGAGGTTCATTTTCTGTACTATTAGCATTAATGGGGGGCAAAAACCCCTGACTCTCAATGTCTTGTAAATTCAGAAGTTCAAACTTTCCATCTTTCTCTACTAGTATTTTCCTATCCTTGTTTTCTTCACAATTTCCATCAGTTAGTGACAGGAGCACATTTTCTTGTCCAAATTCATTGGAAATACATAACTGTGACAGTTTTCCTGACATACTACTTTCATTTTCAAAATAATTTTTGTGAGTATCAGTGTCTTCCAGTGGAGGAACTTCCAGATCAACTAATTTATCTTTGAACTTAAGTTTTCGCTCCCTGTTATCATTCACAGGTTCTTGATTCTGTAGAATCTTGTTGGCTTGTATAATTTTCTCCATAATATATCTCCTTACTTCCTCATCCTCTTCCTCTTCCAGGTCTCTCTGGCTTTCCACTTTGGATTCCTGGGAAGAGTTTTCACTATCTGAATCTGATACGGGATCCAAAGGTTGGATACTTGGTACAGAAATGAAGTCATTTCTTCTTGGTGAAAGCTCATCCTTCGAAGATTTGTCAGGATCAGAATGTTGTTTGGTGTGTTCTATTTCTGTTTCATTGTCTTTTAATTCTTGGTTATTATTCTCTTCATTCCCACAAGCCATCTAAAAAAAATATGAAGTTTTCTTGAGTAAAAATTGAGACTCTTTGTCCACTTATATGTAGATGATCCAAAATGAATTTCATATTCATGCAATATATTTTATGAATGGGAAAATGTACATGTTTTTTATTTTATACTTTGCTCTTAATATTCTAATTCACATTTATGAGCACCCCAAGGGAAATACATGTGACATCAGCACTTTGGGAAAAATTTAACCCTAAATCTGAATTTGATGTTGCTAAGTGCTATATTAATATTTTTTTAAATGTTCATGCTAATGAATGAAAGGGTAACTACAAATAAGACATTATTATTTCAACATTCTTCCTCTATAAAGTTTTCCTCCCTTTAAATTTTCAGAAGAAAAATTTTTTTAATGTTTTCTCCTTATAATATTTGTATTCTTCAAAAAAGTATCTTTCTCTCCAGAATCATTACAACATCAGTCTTTGGTCAAGTTCTAATCATTTTGAGGTTCTTATAATCTTTTCAGATTATTATTGCTGCTACTTTCTGTAGGATCTATATCCAAATTCCAGGCTAATTTTCATCTCTGGGTGACATTTTCCTTCCTCAACTATCCTCAGAGGTCCCAATAATCTATGCTAAACACCATGATATAATTTGGTTTTACATTAAAAAAGCATAACTCCTTTCTCTCTCTCTCTCTCCCTCTCAAATAAATAATATCTTTTTTAAAAAAGTGTAATTCCACATGAACCAATGAACAATTCCACATAGACCAATATTATCGCATCACAAAACCCTACACTACATCTGCTGTTTCTAATTAAAGGCTTCCTACCTAACATCTCTCCTACATACAAACATACTCACCGACCAAACAAACCCTTTACCTTGCAATATTTTTTTCTTTTTCTCAGACAACTCTCTTCCTCTTAAAACAATTCTATGGGAGGTACTACTTGCTGCTCTCTTCAACCCCTTAAAATTCTCTTCCTCTTTTACTTGCTCAAAGGTCATCTTTTCTGATAGCCACCTCTTCCTAACCTGCACAGCACTGCTAGATGTCTGATAAGCAAATTAACCTGGCCCATTAAAATGTCTAACAAATAAGTAAGATTAAACTAAGATTTCTGCATTGAAATTGGTTTTTTTAAGCCATATTTGACTCTGTGGTTCATTCCGACAGTATCGGTTTCCTAATTATTCTTTGACTTTCACTTTTTAAAACCCACTGCAAAAGAAGTCGAATAAATAAAAATAAAAAGCCATCTGCAATAAAACTACCACTTCTTACAATGAAATTTTCCCCCAGCCCTCACCCTATCTCTTTCTCTGTCATCCGATTTTCCTGCCAGCCTCAAAGGAAGACATGCTTTATAATCACCCACTGGAATAGGTAAGATTGATGAGAGCACTCTGTTTTGATCACTGCTTTATCCCTAGCACCCAGAACAGCCTCTGATACATGGCAGGTGATTATAATATTTTCTAAATGAATTGAGAAATGAGACAATGAATCATGATCATCACTTCTCTAATTCTAGCACTCTGCTCTGGATCTCACACCCCTCCAGTAATGAAACTTTGGTTCAACCTTATCATTCTGGGTATCTCTGCCTGTACTCATTCTGATTATTTTTCTGTTAAAGATGCATAAAACTCCCATTTAAAGGCCATCTTAGAAAAATCTTGACTTTTTACTCTGTTGCCTTTTTCAAATATAATCCCATTTGTCCTCTCCATTGCATAAGAAAGCAAAACGGAACTAAGAGAAATTTGTGATGTAAGACTTGCTGTCTTCTTTCTCTTATACTCTCTTCCTTAACCTTCTTCAATCTGACTTCTGGTGTAATTACTGAGCTCTTAGTCCTTCTAAAGTCACCTATTCTTATATGAGTCTTACATCTTTTCTTCATTACTTTCCTATATATTGACTCTAATTTCATACATATATACATAAGCATATATACACATATTAATATATATACACACACACATATATATGCACACAGATTATGTACAGATACACATACACACCATATACATGTATATAAATAAATATAAAGAGAGAAAAAAACTGTGATCCAGGAATTGGTTCATTTTCCTGGATTTCCATTCTATGTGTCTGATAAACAGTATATGATAATATTTAATGGATCCACGTTTTCCTAATCTGCACAGCATTGCTAGATGTCTGATAAGCAAATCTAGCAATTCACTTTTTCCTAAAGGTAGTCCTATGACTGTTTTGACTCTACATTCTTCTCTATATTCATTCCCCTAAAGAGCTAATTCAGTCTTAAGGTTTCAAATATTAGCTGAAAGACCATGTCTTTTGAGAATTTGCTTTATTTTCATTTATATTAAAAGTATAACCCCATTATATTAAAAGTATAACCACCTTTTCATTTATATTAAAAGTATAACCCCATTTTACCCAAGTTTATATAAAGTAGAAATTAACTGTACTTGTTTTTATTTTTGGTACAATAAATCATATTTATTTATATTATATAAATTATAACTTTTCATTATAATTTAAATTTTATTAAGTGCTAACTTAATCCCTGTTTTCTCACTAATTAGCCCTCACCTTAGGACACAATATATAAACTCTTTATGCCTCAATTTTCTCATCTCTAAGGTGGAAATAATGATACTTGTTCTATTTTTATCAAAGGAATTTTGTGAGGTTTAGATGACATAATATATGCAAAACTCTTCAAGAATTACAAAGCACTTTGTTAATGATATTATTATGAATGCTGTTGGCAATTTATTTATACCTCTATTATGCTGGCACCACTTTTTTCTTTTTCATTAATTAACCATTCCAGGTCCTTTTCAAAGTCGTCTTCATATTCTCCACTTTCTTTTGAGTCCATATCTTTATTTTCATCCATTTTCCGTTTGTTAAAGAATAATGCTAGAAGATTTAAAAAGATAAGGTATATGTTATGTCACCTTTAGGGGGAGTAAGGAGTATGGAGATTAATATGATAAGCTAATCAACACACAGAAACACAAAACATGGAATGTTCAGAATAAACATATATCTGTATACCCTAAAAGAGAGACCAACAATGGCCAGACATTTTCTAGATGTACTGCTCTTAACCACCATCTCCACCCCCCCATTCCTGAAACCCTCATTTACAAGGAGACTAAAAAAAGGTGGATAAGAAGATTATCTGAGGCTTAGAGCAGGATTTTCCATATCCCCTGCCAATCATTGAAACGCTTTGCCCAGATCAGAGCAGATGACTCAGCTTGTAAATCACACTCATTCACATTTTTATGCTCAAATAAAAACAAATACAGGTTTCCTCTGCTCTATGAAAGTAGAGCATTCCTATGAAACCTTTTAAAAGCTAAAATGGCATAAAGCAAGGAAGCAATTACTGCTTCATAAAAGCAAAAATCCTCTTCAGATTTCTTTCAGTGAGCAAAAACAGGTACTGATGTGGGTCTTTAAAAAAGTAAACTTTCAAATAATGGAGGAAACCTGAATATCAATTCCCATCCTCAGTTTTTTAATCCTTCTAGTAGTTTATATGGCATAATTATAATTTGTGATCTGAGAGCTTTCCAACTAAGTAAAGTTGATTCTCAACTATTGTAAATGCTAATTTCCACAAAAGTCAAACTGTTTTCAATTCTAAATGAGATATATTTTTCACCAAAAATAACAAAATGTGATGCCTAAAACTATCTGGAAATAGTGACAAATAAATAGGGATGTCAGATGAAAGTTAATTCAGTCATTTTTAAGAAAACAATTCTAAAGTTATCTACAAGTTGAGGTCAGTTCCTAGCTCTGAGAACTGTTTTGTGTATAATTTTTCAAACAAAAGAAGCAAATAAATCTGTACCTATAATGTGTTTGTATATGTGTATGTATATGTGGGTGAGCATACCATATATATGTGTGTGTATATATATATATTACAGTTTTGACAAACATTTGTTAAACACTACAATATTCCTACATACATTCCTATGAAGATTATAAAATAGGCCTATGCCCTTGAGGTATTTCCCGTATGGTACTGAATAAACAAAACCCATAGATTTAAAATGTAGATAAAAACAAGTTAAAAATGTATGTAAATGGAATAAAGATAGATAGATAGATATACATATAGAACATTGGGAGGAAGAATAAAAAAGCAATTAACTCAGTCTAAAGTAGGAAACACCAAGGAAAGCTGAGATGGGCTTTGAATACTGAGTACAAGAGTTTATTACTTATTTTAGACAAAGAGAACACATGAGAAAGAGCAAACAAACATGGAAGTGCATGGAATTGTCCAGAGAGGCCTGAACATAATGTGTTCCTGAAGAAGAATCTTGAAGGAGTGATAAGGGGTCAATCTGACGTCAGATTATCTGTTCAAAAAAAAGGCTGAGGGAAAATTGTTTATGTGGATCCAATTGTCAAAAAGCAGCCAAAGGTAGAAATATATAGCAATAATCTGCACATTTTCCACCATTAACTTAAACAAAAACAAAAGAGCAATGCTTTCTAAATGTGCGTAGTTTTTTAGATTCAGTCTCAAAAGAGCTATAGAAATCTCATCTTCAGGGTCTCAAACACCTGGGACCCTATTTGTATACCTGTTTCTATACCTCAGAGCCTTCTCTTGCTCCTACACCAAGAATAAGTTACCTAAAACCTTTTTTGGAGGCAGAAAGTACAGATGTCAAGAACACATTATTTAGGATGGAAAATGAGAGATATTTTGTCTGAATTAATAAATTATCCACAAACTTTGTTTTGGCCATTGGCTTCACTGTACTATCCGCAAACCTTTGGCTAGACTACCTAACCTGGTGCCATTTTTACTGAAGGGAGATATACATTATTTTCCTTCCATTGTTCACCATCAAATAATAGTGAAAGCATGTGGGAGAACATCTTTCCACTAGCTGCACAAGCACTAGCTAAGTAAAGAGATGAGGCTTTTCACTACTGTGTATGAAAAACATTTTAACAGGTTTTAGTGAACAGAAGGTTCAAATGAGTTAAAAGAATGATGAGGACACCTAAAATGTAAATAAACTCCAAGCTAAGGCTATGGGTGAGACATACAGAAAGTGGGAAGCACTGTATCCAGTTTCCTGTGCTACAATTTAAAGGTCAAAAGACAAGCTTGAACACATTCAGAGGCTAGCAAACCAGGAGAATGGGGGATAAAAGAGAAAGAAGGGAAGAAGGGAGGCTATGAGAGTAAAATACCTTAGAACCAGACTCTGCGGAATACCTGAAAACCCTGGGAATATTATCCTAAAGAAGAGAAGATAACTGCTTTAAATTATTTTTTTTTAAGATTTTATTTATTTGAGAGAGAGAGAGAGAGAAATAGAGAGAGCACAGAGGGAGAGGGAGAGGGAAGAAGCAGACTCCCCACTGAGCAGGGAGCCCAACGTGGGCCTCCATCCCAGGACCCTGAGATCAGGACCCAAGCCAAAGGCAGATGCTTAACAGACTGAGCCACCCAGGCGCCCTGCTTTACATTATTTAAATGGCTGCTAGGTAAAGGAAGATACCTTCAAATGGTAAAACTACTGTTAGAGGCTGGAAACCCAGGGACAAATTTTGGCAATTTAAAACAGAATTTACAGGGGCGCCTGGGTGGCTCATTCGGTTAAGCGTCTGCCTTCAGCTCAGGTCATGATCTCAAGGTCCTAGGATCCAGCCCCGCTACAGGCTCCCTGCTCAGCAGGGAGTCTGCTTCTCCCTCCCTCCCCATGCTCATGCTTTCTCTCTTTTTTCTCTCTTAAATAAATAAATAAAATCTTTTTAAAAAATAATAAAATGGGGCACCTGGGTAGCTGAGTTGGTTGGGAGTCTGCCTTCGGCTCAGGTCATGATCCTGGAGTCCCAGGATCAAGCCCCACATCAGGCTCCCTGTTCAGTGGGGAGTCTGCCTCTCCCTCTGCCCCTCACCCCACTCGTGCTCTCTCTCTCTCTCTCAAATAAATAAATAAAATCTTTTAAAAAATAATAATAAAATGAAAAAAATAAAAATAAAACAGAATTTAGATTTTAAACTTGTCCTGAAATGAAGTGAGCTGCTTATTAGAAGTGTTGCATTCCTTGTCAACACAAAGAGCCTTAGAGCAAAACTGTTGAGCTAGAGGACCCTTAAGATTTATTTTAAACTTTTTATAAGCTGCAAATTAGCAAATAACTGCCAACTCATGAAAAGCAAGAGAATTTAAAAGGAATGCATAGTATCATGATAAGCTTAATCTAAAACAAATGATCAGTGCCTGAATAATTAAATCCAAGACTTAAAAAATTCTTATCTGGATCACTTAAATGTCATCTTTTCTCAGAATAGTGCTTGGTATTGGTACCCTTCCTCCACTCAAGACAAAGTTAGTTTTATGTACACGAATGTTAATCATTCAACCTAATTATTCAACTGAATAATTATAACTATTTCCAATGTATTAGTTGGATTATAATTCCTTCTAGATATTTATGTCTTGTATACTAAGAATACAAAATGTACTTTTTTTTTTTTTTTTAAAGATTTATTTATTTATTTATTTGAGACAGAGAGAATGAGAGAGGGAGAGCACATGAGAGGGGGGAGGGTCAGAGGCAGAAGCAGGCTCCCTGCCGAGCAGGGAGCCCGATGCGGGACTCGATCCAGGGACTCCAGGATCATGACCTGAGCCGAAGGCAGTCGCTCAACCAACTGAGCCACCCAGGCGCCCACAAAATGTACTTTCTTAAAGAACTCAAAGTAAGGTTTCAAAACTTCGTAAAGCAAAGGTTGAGAGCAATAATACTTTGAGGTAACCTAGAGAAACCAAATCAATACTACAGAGTGAGTTTATTTACCACTGCCTAGCTGCAAGACAGGCTAAATCACATCAACCGTTATGTCTAACTACTAATTAAAAGTAAGGGCACCATGGATGATGTAGTACAAACTAAAACTCATTGTGATCCAAAATACTTACATAAATAATACTGTTTTTCACAGTCACAAGTGCCTTAGGATAATCAGCTTTCTTTTCAGACCAGGGATCCTGGAATTTATAATTCTAAGATGTTAAGGTTACATAACTAATTATTAGAATAAGATTTCTATGGAACTCTTCAGTGTTCTCCTTTAATTTTTTTGATAAACATAGTTCTGAATTTGTAAATAAATAGTTGCCTGAGGACTTTTGTTAGCTACGCTTTATTATTTACAAAGACTCTCACCCATGTGAAAACTCAAATTTAACGCCAAAATATCAGCATAATAAATAAAAATAAAATGATTACAAATCAAACATATTAGGTGTTATTAAATCATACGATTATGCCATAATTAAAAAGAGGAAAAGCCTCAGCTGCAGTGACTCTGAGAAGTAAATGAAGATGCATTAAATTTGTACTGCCGCCTTCTCCTGTACCTTCAAAAACCTCATGGCTGGTTGCCAAGTAAACAAAGAACATAAATCATAAACTCTTGTTACCAAGTCCCTTAAGCCTTTTTCAAATGCGTCACAGGATATTCAATCCCCTTCAGTTCTTTTAATCATCATCCCCAGGGTACTGGCCATATGGTACACAGTCATCATGCTGGAACAAAAATATATCTTACACAAAATGAATCACCTAACACTTATTCCTGTGAGTTTCACACATTTAAATTTCAATGTTTATCATCAGTAAAAATCTATGTAAGTGGCTTAGATCAGAACCACCCTCTTAACAGGTTAACTGTAGTAAGAGACAAATTAATTCCTTCCCCCTGGGTGTCTGTTAAATCCCATGCGGGTATGTGACTGCAGATCTTTTAGTGTGAGTCTAAGCCGAGTCTGTATTTATACACTTTTGACGACTTTCTTTCAGGATTCAGACATTTGAAAATAGTTTAATCTAATTCCTTGACTCCAGTCTTATCTCGTAGCCTTTTGAACATAGGCTTGTTTAAAATCTAAGAGAATTAAAAAAACAAACAAACAAACTCAAAGAGAACCTGTTTTAATACAAAATAAGTACTAAAGCAAAAGCTAACCCTTAATAGCATCATGAGACCATCTGGTCCATTCTTCTTGCTGCATTTTTCCAAACCGAAATCCTATGAGTAAAAAATTTTTAAATTCATACTCCGTCACAAAGTATGACAATGATATGTTACACACATTAGGTGATAACTTTAATTTGTATCCAGGGTCCCCAGGTACCATCAACTAAATGAATACCTGAGCCTCTTCATGGAAGAGAAGTAATGCATAGTATCACTTCAGGAGTGACTTTTTTCTCCCAGGATGAGAACTTTGAGAGGGGAAAGAAAATGATACAAATGAGAGACTAAGCTACACTCAGACGGGTTTTCCCTCGTACAAACCAAGCAAGGTGTTGCCAGACATCCCCGCAGGTTCCGTGGAACCCGTACTCGGCAGGATCAGGCGCCAACAGGAAGGCTCTTCCTCCCTTCTAACCACCTTTCCTCCCAGTTGTCCCACACGTTTTACCCCCGTATCCTCTCTCCCACCGTAAGTATCTCCACACCATCCTTCCCTTCTCTCCCTCTGTATCCCCTCCTGCCTGTGTAAGATGCAGCGGCTGGGGTCACAGAGATGGCCGGGGAAGTTCTCCTCTCTTCCTCTTTCTAAGCTCTGACAGTGAGGCGAGGGAGACCCCAGCACCGGCTCCCACGGCGGAGAGAACCCGGCTGCCATAGCAACGGCGCGCCTCCACGTCCTCCATCCGGGCCTCTCTTACTACGAGCGCGCGATGGACCAGCGCAGGCGCAGACGACAAGCTGAGAACACCTGCCCCTCCTGGCGCTCTTCCTGGAATCTGCAGAGGACCTGTCAGGCTGCGGTTTCCAAGGAGACAAACAAGAAAGCCCTGCATCACCGGCAAGGTTGGGGGCGTGAGTCCGAATTGGTGAAGGATCACTTTCTTGGTTTTAAGTTTTCCCACGTGGGGGCGCCTGGGTGGCTCAGTCGTTAAGCGTCTGCCTTCGGCTCAGGTCATGATCCCAGAATCCTGGGGTCGAGCCCCACGTCGGGCTCCCCGCTCTGCGGGAAGCCTGCTTCTCCCTCTCCCACTCCCCCTGCTTGTGTTCCTGCTCTCACTATGTCTCTCTCTGTCAAATAAATAAATAAAATCTTAAAAAAAAAAAAAAGTTTTCCCACGTGTAGCAGTCTCGCCAAATACGGAATTTCTTAGAACAGTTTCTGGATATATATATTTCTGTATGTTATTCGCCGCTGGCATCAGAATCATTTCCATTTTGACTAGTAGGTACCAAATTGCTAACTAGTTACCAGATTTTTCACTCGAAGCTTCCCTCCCACGACCGCGAATGAAAAAAACAAATCCCAAAAGAGTGGTCAAAAGATGTTTGCTCCAGCTTTCAAGCGTGTCAAAATGGTCAACTAGGATTTTCTCAAATCCTCTTTAAAGATCGCCTTTATTATAAAGGGGAAGCAAGATGAATTGTATTTTTTTAAGATTTTAGTTATTTATTTGAGAGAGAGGGAGAGGGAGCACAAGCAGGGGGGAGGGCAGAGGGAGAAGCAGACTCCGTGCTGAGCAGGTAAACCCCTGGGATCATGACCTGAGCAGAAGGCAGAGGCTTAACCGACTGAGCCACCCAGGCGCCCCGCAAGATGGATTTTAGGTTGCAGTAACAAATGATAAGATTTTAGAAATTGTCTATTCCCTGCCAGAAATAGACAAAAAACAGGGAGGAAATATGAAAATGTTTCCTCAGTACTCCAGAATTTTCAGATTATTTTTTTGTTTGTTATTAGAATTTTTATCACTTGGTACATTGGAGAGCATCTTTTCTTCAAAGAGGATCATGTAAAATTGAGTTTTAAAGTATTCTCCAAACAGCAGAGTAAACTAAGTTAAAAAATAAAAAGATTTAAGGTTAAAATGGATTACAATATTGAGTGCACTTCCTAGCTGCAGTGTATAACTTATAGTTCTAATGATTTAATGTTTCTTCTGCTACAGGACTTAGATCTTAGGCCAAACACTTGAAAAAGATAAAATACAAAATCATTGAGTGTTTAAGGTTCAAGGAATTTTAATTAAATCTCCTTTAATAAGTATAGAATTACTACAAAAGCTACTGTAACATCTAAGTTTCAGAACTCCTACTAATTTTTTTCCACTGATCCTCCCAAATATTTGTAAATGTTTTTACAAATGTTATGGTCTATAGCACCATTGTTCATAGTAGCCAAAAAGTGGAAACAATCCAAATGCCCATCAAATGATGAAAGCATAAATAAAATGTGGTATTTCCATACAATGGAATATTTTAAGCGATAAAAAGGAATGAAGTACTGGTAAATACTACAACAGGGATGAGCCTTGCAAACCTAAACATTATGTTAAGTGAAAGAAGCTAGAAGCAAAAACCACATATTATATGATTCTATTTATATGAAATGTCCAGAAGAAGCAAATTTACAGAGATAGAAGGTAAATTAGTGGTTGCCTAGTGATGGGGTTGGCCTGCCATTGGGGGAAAAAATGGGTGAGTGACTGCTTAGGTTGAATTGTATGGTATATGAATAATATGCTAACAGTAAAACTGGTGCCCCACCAAAATATTATTGGAATAGTGGGCAAAGCATAAGTAGAGAGATGAAAATATTTTTTAAGTTTCCAAGATTCTGAATATAGATTCTGTCTCCTGTGCTTAAACTGATAGAAGATTTTAATTTCTAAGTCTAGTTGTCCCTTTTATAAAATAGAGATAGTAACATTTGCCTTTAGGATTATGAAGATTAAATGAGGTAATCTGCATGTTTAGCACAGTGCCTAATGTATACAAAGTGCTCAAAAAAATGTGCCTGTTATCCTTACATATTACTTATTATCATTACAACGTTACATCCAAAAGGATGAAAGTAGGTTCTAAAATATCCTTAAATGTCCAAAACACAAATAAGAAAAATTTTAAATTATGTGTGGAATTCTATTTTAAAAGTCTTCCTACATTGTCAGTTTTTTTTTATTTTACAAAAGATCCAGATGTTAATATGTCAATTTCAAAGAAATGTATGTTAAACATGATAGTTATAGAACTCTTGTGTTATGTACCTGAATGAGATTTAAAAGTGGGATGGAGGGGTGCCTGGGTGGCTCGGGCGGTTGAATGGTTGAGCGTCCAACTCTTGGTTTCAGCTCAGGTGTGATCTCAGTGTTGTGAGATAGAGCACTCCATCAGGCTCTGTGCTAGTGCAGCGTCTGCTACAGATTCTCTCTCTCTCTCCCTCTGCCCCTCTCCCACTCTCTCTAAATAAATAAATAAATAAATAAATAAAATCTTTAATTAAAAGAAAGTGGGATGGATAGGGAGCACCTAGCTGGCTCAGTCAGAAGGGCACATGACTCTTGATTTTGGGGTCATGAGTTCAAGCCCCACATTGGATGTAGAGATTATTAAAAAAAATAAATAAACTAAAAAAGCATCTGGGTGGCTCAGTAGGTTAGGTGTCCAACTCTTGATCTCAGTTCAGGGCTTGTGCTCAGGTCTTGATCTCAGGATCGTGAGTTCAAGTCCCACATTGGGCTCCACTGTAGGTGTAGAGCCTACTTAAAAAATAAATAAATAAATAAATAAATAAATAAATAAAAATAAAATAAAATGGGGTGGTTAGCTGTAAAAATTCAGAAACACATCACGCTTAAATGGAAGTCAGAATTCCAGTTACCACAACCAGTTAGGATCCAGTTGCACATAAAATAAGTATTAAAAGCTTGAAAATAGTAATAAAAAGTTATTACAAAGTTTGTGAGCTAAGCCTGAGCCATTTGCAGAAGAGTCTGTCACAGTCCCTTCTTTTATTCTAATAAACTTAGGACTCTGAGTTCCCAGCCTGGAAATTAGAATGTGATCATTTGAAAGGAAGGGAAAGAGAAGAGGTGGGCTGTTGAAAGCAGGTACACTGACACCAGAAAGAACTAGAGAGAGGTGGCTGACTGACATGCAGGGAGAAAAATAAAAAGAATTGAAATCAGAGGCTACCTAGAATAAAACCAAAATCTTTGATCATCTTTTTTAAGGGCAAGCAAAGATAAACACTAAATGACAACATTGTAAAATAATAATTCATAATCTGTGGTGATAAACCTAAACTATTAAAAAAAGATTTATTCATTGTCATCTATTTAAGAAAGCAGAGAAATATTAGGTTTTCAATAACTTAATTCAATTTTTCCTGTTGAGTTCCTTACTTATGGGTCTGCCTGTGAGGTGAATAATTCCCAATCTATGCATGAAGGAGCTCACAGACTTATAAAGGAGATAAACAAAGGGAACACAGTGTGACACACAAGGTGCAGATTTAGCTCAAAAATGGAGCTCAATTAGGAAAAGAGTGACAATAAAAATTCCTTTGCAAGTGTTGACATTAGAGCTGACTTTTGAAGAATGAAAAGAATTGCACAAGGGTGGAGCATTATGCAGAGACATTAGGATTCGTGAGGGCATGGAGGCATTAACTAGTTTATTCTGGGATCTTTATGTAATTCAGAATTGCTGGTTTGACTCAAGATGAGGAGTGGCATAAGATGAAATCCGTCCTTCATTGCCTATGGCAGCCTCTGAGATATTTTAAGCATATTGTGAAAACA